GTCTGTCTGTCTGTCTGTCTGTCTGTCTGTCTGTCTGTCTGTCTGTCTGTCTGTCTGTCTGTCTGTCTGTCTGTCTGTCTGTCTGTCTGTCTGCCCACCCAGAGTGAGAAAAAATTGTACTAGATTGTAATAGAAAAGTCCAGACCTTAGTCAGATGTTTCGTCAAAAATTGTGTGGCATAAATGTTCAGAAAATGCAAAAGAGAGTATTAAAAACTGGACAGAGTGAAAAATATTATCAAAACTAAATGTAATTATCTAAGCAGCACGGGAAGAGATTAAAGTTTTTTGCACTCCTAGATACTCTGTACAAAACAAAATGCATTTACCAGCTAAAAAGTAGATTTTGCTTGATATGTTCCCTTTATATGTTACCACAAAAGTAGGCTAGTTTAAAAAAAATAAATTCTGTGGCTCAATTAAGACATTTTTCACATTATTTACATTAACTGTGACATTATGGTAATTGTATTTCCTTTGAAGCTGAATTGTGCCACCATGTGTTCACCTACAAGGCGACAGTGAAAGTCACTGAGCATTTTCCAGACTCAGAAAGTAAATTTTTAAAAAGAAGAAAAAAAAACAGAAACAACTGTTCTTTTCCCAAACTCTTCATTTGAATCGATACTAAAATAGCCCGTTGTTCACTCAAAGAATAAAAAAGAATAAAACAAACTTTGTGACATCAAATACAGAAACCGGCGCTCCTGCTTCCCATTGGCTCATCATCCGCCTGAGGGGGGCGGGGTTAGGCACGTGYGGTTTTTTTTTTTAAAGTCTCGTCTTTGCTGTCACAACTACCTCCTTCACTATAGCTGCAGAGGGTTATGGCAGAGTTCAAAACTGTAGCAGAGGATTCCCAACAAGCTGGAAGAACAAAGGCGAGGAGAGACTCAGGGTGGAGTTTAACTGATCAGATTTACGCTCCAGGATCCAACAGGTTGGTGAAAAAAGATTTTGTGTTAGAAGTTTTATTTAAAGATGTGCAGGGACATCTCTAAGAACAAACTTATTCCATAAATACAAAGTGTACTTATTTATCAGTCATCATATTACACATTTATCATGACATCACATTTATTGTTGCTATTGTTTTATTTGTGATATTATTTTAGTTTAATCTAATTTATAGATTTCACAAACTGAATATTTTTCTTAAACAATAAACTACATAGCTTTTAAATTGCATGCAACAGAAGGATTAAACAAAYAAAAACTTGAATAGTTCAATTTAAAAAATACAAAAACAGATTCGAAAAGCAAAACCGCTCTTAGATTTTTATAATTTACACAATAAAAAAGTTTCAAGGCTTTTATTTGAATATTCTTTCTGCTGAATGTCTGACAGTTATTGATTTATGAAAAAAAAAATAGATAGTGCAGCTTTATATAACCACTTTCCATCCGCCTCAGCTGTTGCCTCTAACTGAGAGCATATATGCAAAACAAACAATCRCAGACTGCACAAACCTTCGGCTTGTAATTCGTGAAACCTTGCAGTAGAAAGCAGCAGACAGTGCTGATGGCAGACGAGGGTAAAAACTTAAAGTTAGACATCTGATTTGTGCAGCTGAACCCACACAGTTGGCTTCACAAGAGTTTTTTTCACATTGAATCAAACTGCTGGCCAATCTCATGAGATAAACTTGTTTTAGTTCGTAGCTGACATTTAGGTCTTTGCAACTAAAAATATGTCAGACCCACTTGGCTAAATGTTTACTTATTTCCTTTATAAAAGCATGCACTGAGAATGAGAGCGAATGAAGCTTTATTTTCCCAGTATGAGGGCCAGCTCCCTGTTTCCAGTCCATCCAGTTATGACGTCATTAGCTGAGAAAAAAAAAGGGCAGATTTTTGGAAACCTACACATCCAGTGTGACCTTTAAACTTCCCACAATTTAGAAAGCCTAAAATAATAACAATAATAAACAGCACAAATCATAAAACAAAACAAAACAAAAAAGAAATAAAAAGGAAAAGTGTCATTTTTACTTCYATGCTAATTTAAAGGAAAAATAAAATATAGCAGTAATACACTGAAACGTCTTGGAAATGATACAAAAAAATATACTCCAATGTTATGAATTGAAAAAGTTGGTGTGGGGTTATTTTGTAACTCCCGGAGCATGTCCGGTTGTCTGTGGCCTTCTGTAGCCTGTGGTGTTGTATTTTAATGGACCTCTCATGCCACGAGTCAATACCTTTTCTGATTCAACTGTCCTTGTTGTTCTGCTACACATAAAGCAAGGTTACTGATTCATTAATTGTTTTCCCCCTCATGTTTTGTAATTTAAGCAGCTAATTAGATGAAATAGAGCAATAATAAAATGTTCTTTAAATTATACATGTGTAACCTATTGTATGTTAGTGCCGAATAGAGATGTTTGGATTATACTTTTATCTTTTGTTTAGACCAACTTAGATTGTTTTTATATAACCTGAGTGGTTTAATCACATTTTAATGTATGGCTTAGAAATAATAAATATGTAAGAAATGTGTTGAGCAGTGTACAAAGTATCATTTACACATATGCAGTTCTAAAGTTACTTAAAAACCATTATTTCTCTGTGTTTTGATTTTTATAGTTCAATTCACCGATGAGGTTTAAAGCAAGCATCAGAGAGGAGTGAGCCACCCTCACAGTCTGCCAGAGACAGACCCGGTGTCCTCCCTACAGGCTCAAGTCCTGCTGTCCACATTTTCTCCTTGAGATTGTCTACTGGAGCATTCAAAACTGTTTCTCCAACGCTTCTACCAAAAACTTAGACTGTTTTCCAAACCAGAAGCGGCCCAGCCCCCTCAGGTGGAAGTGATGGGGAGCCTGCGAAGCCACCGTTACAGCATTGTGTCCTCGGAGGAGGATGGCATGAAGCTGGCAACCGTCGCTGTCCCAAACGGCTAYGGGAATGGCAACGTCAACAAGGGGCATACAGAGCCCCAACGCCAGAGCCGCTTCGTCAGCAAGGATGGCCACTGCAATGTGCAGTTTATCAACATGAGTGAAAAAGGCCAGCGGTACTTGGCAGATATCTTTACCACCTGTGTGGACATTCGYTGGCGCTGGATGCTGGTCGTCTTCTGCCTCTCCTTTCTTTTGTCCTGGTTGCTTTTTGGCTTCGTCTTCTGGGTCGTGGCCCTTTGTTATGGGGACTTAGAGAATGAGACTCAAATATGTGTCTCCAATGTGGACAGCTTCACGGCTGCCTTTTTGTTTTCAGTCGAGACCCAAACCACAATTGGCTACGGTTATCGCTAYGTGACAGAGGAATGCCCCATCGCAGTTTTCATGGTGGTGTTTCAAAGCATCGTGGGATGCATCATTGATGCTTTTATCATTGGTGCTGTCATGGCCAAGATGGCAAAGCCCAAGAAAAGGAACGAGACCCTGGTGTTCAGCCATTATGCTACCGTCGCCATGAGGGACGGTAAACTTTGCCTGATGTGGCGGGTGGGGAACCTGAGGAAGAGTCACCTGGTCGAGGCCCACGTTAGGGCCCAGCTCCTCAAATCCCGCACCACAGCAGAGGGAGAGTTCATCCCTCTGGATCAAGTCGACATCGACGTGGGCTTCGATAGCGGCATAGACAGAATCTTTCTGGTGTCTCCCATCACCATTGTGCACGAGATCGACGAGGACAGTCCTTTCTACGAGATGAGCAAACAGGAGCTGGAATCGTCAGAGTTTGAGATCGTGGTGATCCTCGAGGGCATGGTCGAGGCCACGGCCATGACTACTCAGTGTCGGAGCTCCTACGTGGCTAGCGAGATCCTCTGGGGTCACCGCTTCGAGCCAGTGCTCTTCGAAGAAAAGAACTATTACAAAGTGGACTACTCGCGCTTCGACAACACCTACGAAGTGCCCAGCACACCTTGCTGCAGTGCCAGAGACCTGGCCGACAGGAAGTCAGAGGCTTCCAGCGTGAGGAACTCCTTTTGTTACGAGAACGAGGTGGCGCTCGAAAAAGCTGAACTGGAGGAAGAGTTTGAGGAGGTGGAAAGCCGGTTGATGAGGGACGTTGAGGTCGATCCACTTGAGGACACAAGCACAGATCTGGTTTCAAACGCTGAATGCAACCTAGATCCTTTGCCTTTAGAATCAAGGCACTTGACGGCAGAATCAGAAATATGACCGTAGGTGTAATTTACTTTAAGCTTAGTCCAAATATTACTTTTAATATTGCAGGGCAGGCTGTAAAAGAACAGTCTTCATGCAGCAGCCTGTACACTGAACACCAATTAAACACAGGTTATGTTGAGTTTGGTGATAAATGAACTGCTTGCTTGGAGCCACAGGGATGCAAACAGTTGCACACCATCACACACGGTCCATGTACTATTTGGTAATTTGTTTTTCATTTTAAAAATAGATGCTGAAAATGGTTGGTTATTCTATTTTTTATTTTATACTCCAAAAACATAAGCAATTTTTTTCTTTTTATTTTTTATCAAACCGAAATTTTAGTACTATTTTTAAGCACAAATCAATGCTGTGCTGCGGAACCTGCTGCGGCGCTTCATGTGCTAAAAGCACCAGAAGCTCCAAGAAAAAAAAAATTAACCATCAGTGTTACACAAACTATCAGCTAACACCTGGTAAAGAAATGTAAAACTGGTTAGCTAGCATCTATTTATTGCGGCTGCCAAAGTAAAACATGTTTATTCATCCCAGTATCCGACCAATAAAGTTGTGTTAGATGAGACTAAATTTATAAAAAAAATACAATCTAAAGTTAGTTGGATAAAGAAATTMAAATGTAATTAGCTAGCATTTGCTTGTTTATTTACAGGGAGCCACCTGTTATTTAAAAGTTATTTAGCTAGCGCCACCTTAAATGGTCTGCTAACACAGTGTTGAACAGCCGCTGTGAGAAAAATGAAAATGACGGACAGTTTTCCCGTTTTTGGAGTATAAAATAAAAATAGAATAATCATCCGTTTCTTTTTCAACATAAGTTTTTGAAACAAAAAGCAAACGACCAAAAAGTACACAGACCACATACATACAGTGCATTCAGTTTCTTTAAATATTTTCAGATTGCGAAAGAAAATGTTTTAGTGTGATTGTAAGAAAGGCTCAGAAAAAGAATTTTGTTTGCACTTTTGCATTAATTGTACTAAACTTACTGAATGAAAAGGTCACATGTTTGCAAATAATGACAAAAAGTATTAATTTGAGCTTGAAATTGAAAAAATATATATAAAAAGAAAATCTAAATTAAAATATTTTTTATTATTTTAATATAAATGATCATTAAAAAAAAGCTGTTAATCTAAATTACCAACCCAAAGCAAGTTTAGTTTTTTGTTAATGAGCTGGTCTCTTAGCAAAATCAAAGTCTTCTTAACTGTGTTGGCCTTGTGCTGTGGTTTTATTTTATTTTTTTATTTTATTTTTGCACAGAACATGAGTATGCTACTCTCCTCAATCTATCATTTATGTGCAGAATCTTTTGCAACGTGTGCCTTAACAGAAGTTCCAGTCCCCGCGGAGGAACTCGGGTGGTTTGGGTTGGATTGAGCACACACTGCATTAGGTCTCACGGACAATAGAAACATTGAAAATAAGATTTTTGATGCAGGTTGCTGCCACCACTTACATGTTYTTGTGTTTTAACGTGCAATATACTGATCCGTGGTCAGAAGCGATAGGAAGCTCCATCCCGAGCCGAGTCGATGAATGTTGACAATAAGTGCTGCTAAGTTACATATTGTATAAACAGAAATCTCAGAGCCAAACTGTATTAATATTTTTTTCAGTTTGCAAATGCATCATTTAGTGTTATTTCTAGCTGTAGAAAAGCATGATTAAGGTGTGTTTTTTAAAGCTTCAATGCACTTTCTTCCTCACCAGAATTTTCTGTCCCCAAGATTATTCTGTGTACTTTTGTGAAACCACACTGATTCATCTGTTATTATATAAAACCTGATTTCTTTTCCTCATCTAACAGTGGTTGACTGATTCAACACTGCTTTATTTGAAGTCATTTTAACATAGTTTACTTAAACATCAGTGTTCATGGTAGATGAAATGGACTTGTTAATTTGAGTGTTGTTGGTCCAGCACTCTGWTTCTGGTGTTATTAAAGATCAGGAGTGAAAGTTACTGCTGCATCGCTCATACAGGAATGGACGACACTTTACTTTAGTCTTACAAAGGATTTAGCTTAAGCTAGAAGCTCGAGTGATGTCAGCGGACATCAGAACACTGTCGGTTTTTAGATTTTTATTTTTCTACATTTTTCCCCACCCTTCTGCCGAAACCAGATTGTACAGCTGCTTTTTTTTAATCTTTTGTAAATTATATTCCAAAACACTCTCCAGTGATAATGCAGTCACTGAAAACTATTTATGTATGTTTTTTTTCCAATAAAACAATGAAAAACATCATTATGAATTATTGTCTTATTAAAAAAACAACTCTATAATGGGTGGGCATTTTTGAAAACGATTATGCTTTCTTTGCATTTCAGCGAATCCTTCTTGTTAAAAGTTATTGTAACACGTGTCGCCGCTACTTTAATATTGAATTGTGGTCCAAATTCCTGGCTCAGGCCATTGTCTATAAGTCACCAAACTGACTGGCTCCAGTTCTGTGAAAGTCTCAGTGGGTCCTGCACAGCATCAGTTTGCACTGACATGAATGGAAAGAACTTCTCACTCACTTTTCTTAGACTCTTTCAATAAACTGTGGAAAATAATCATATTCTGAACACTTAAAGAAAGGTATTAATGTGGTGAACTACACTGAGTGATACAATTCAATTAATTGGGCAAAGACTTTTTCAGTGTTCAACATGCTGTGACTTGTGTTTTAGTATTTGTGACTTTATTCTTTTTAAATTATTTATCATTATTTACATATGCCCATTGAGATAATTTGTTAAAAAAACATCATTGTTCTCTGAATTTCACTTCAGCAAATTTTCTCTACTTTTGTTACATTTAGCCTTTAGCTAGTTTTGTTAATTTAAACTTTTAGCTCTATTCCGCGAATTTTAACTCTTGTTTTAATGTTAACATTTTCCTTTTAGCTACAATTGTTTATTTTACCTTATACAGTTTTGCTCATTTAACTTGTAATTATAGATGAGCTAATTTCAGCATTTAGCTATGGTTTTGCTTATTTTAGCTTTTGGCTACAGTTTCAGTAATTTTAGCTTTTACATACGGTTTGCTAATTGTAGATTTTGGGTACAATTTTTGCTCATTTTAGCTAAAAAAAAGTAGCATAATTTTGCTTTTAATTGCATTTTTCGCTAACTGTAGCTTTTAAATATAATTTAGCTCACTTTAGCATTTCTTAATTTTAGCGTTTACCTACTATATTGTTTAAATTTGTGCCTAAAAAGAACAGTTTTGCTAATTTTAGTGTCTGTTCTGTTTGTTAACAAGTCAGTTAAGAATTAATTCTTCATCCACTTTCATCAAAGTCATTTAGATTCAGCGTTCACACTGGAACTTTGCAGAAAATGCGGTTTCTCTCATTTAAACCCTGAATTTGAATGTGCAAAAGTAACATTACCATCATTTGGTTTTTAATCTCACACAAATTGCTTTCAGATTGTCATCAGATGCAATAGATTTTAGATTGCAATGTGTCTGCAGTACCACGACACATTGCATAACAAAGTGACCCGTGTGTGAYGAAATGCAGCCTGCATCGTGTGGACGACTCCAAACTTTCTTTATTCAGCATTACTGTACACAAAATGCTACTAATCGATGCAAGCGATCGACAATTTTGTATCACGGTTAAACTTGTGTTGGAAGTATGACACAACTGTCTGCAGACGTAGTTATTTTCCATTCAGTGCTGCGTTCTGCCTGCATGGACTGTCAGAATGCAACTGATTGATCAGACACATCCGCAGGGAGGCAGCGTGCCGATTTGATTTGTTTCTACATAGGAAGTGGATGCTGCCTCTGGCTTTTTTCCACATTAGCCAATGAAAATGCCAGAAATACCAAGATTAGGGTTAAAAAATAAAATGCGCAGAGAGTCATTATTTAACTATTCAATGTATTTCAAATCCATAAGTTTAACATTTTACCTTTTTTGTGTGAAAAGAAAAGAAAAAAATTACTGTATTTTTTAAAGTACGCCTGCGATAAAATTACTTTCAGGCTTCTTTTCAAAATAAAGTATATTTTTCAACAACACATCTATTGTACCTATGATTAACTAAAGAACACAGTGGTTTTTCAGGCTTTGCTAGTATCACAGTTTGAAAGGAATTGACTGCTATGTGTTGGCCAGCAACCTCCATGTCGATGAATGACGTCTCTTTGGTGAATTCCTCTGAACTGGTTCATTAACCACAAACGCATCAGCTTGACCTTCAGATTAATTAGGTAAACATAAACAAGAGCTACTCATCACAATAAAGTGAAACACCACTACTTGATCAATCTGCTTTAAAAAAAGATAAAATTAAAACTAACATAAATCCATAAATGTTTACAAAATCTCTGACATTTTCTGTTTCAGGCTGTGAAATTACCAAATAAATGTGTCTCTTATCTCCTCCTGCCTGTCGAAGTTTATAGAAGCAGAAACGGGGCTGGTCTAGCTCAAAGACTGTCAGTCAAAGATTGTTTATACTCATAATTTTATGAGGTAATAAAACCACTGACATATTTATTTTGGAGGAGGAAGCATGTCAGGACTGAATTATTTCTTAAAAATATATGTATAAAGAAGTATTACACGAGAAATATGATCCAAGTCTCGTCTAATATTCTGCACATCTGCAKCTCGTCATCTTGTTAATGGCTGTTCTGAACTGAACGTGTCTGGCTTGCTTTATTGTAGGTGCGCTGCTGAAGTCATGAGGCAGTCTCGTTGACAAAACGAAAACATCATTTGTGGTAAAACTCCAGCTGCCGTGATGCTGAACAGAAAAACAAATTGATTTCAGTCATCTGACACATGACATCATACATTTGGCTGTTGGAAACTAAAAATGTTTTACAACAAAAAAATATTTAACTCAAGGTGGTTTAACTTAAATACAAATTTAGAAAAAGAAAAGAAAAAAACAACAATAACAACATTACAATGGTTCTGGAAAGGCAGAAAAATGATGTTAGGTAATTATATAATTGTGATGACGGCTATTGCATAAGTCCAGTAGTCATTGAAGACATGTTGCTCTCAGGTCACTGTGATGGTAAGATGACTGATGAAGGCTCGTGTCACAGGGGCAAAACACTCGTACTCACGGGTCCTTTTCAAACTGCAGCACTGACGCTGATCAGGTTGCTTCTCAAGTGCTGCTGCTGCAGAAATGCTGAACAAGCCGAGCAAAGAAATGTGTCACATTTGTGTGCCAGTGGTGGAACCAAACATGGACGTAAACAATATATATATATATATATATATATACACAGTATATATATGTATATATACTGTATGTATAATGCACAGTTGGCAGCTTACTTTAAAGAGGCAATATCTTGTAAAATCAACTTTTCTGAGTTTTATATCATGTTATAATCTTATACTCTCATAAAAAACATGCCCAAAGCCTTGCTTTGACTCATTCATGCTCATTCATGTGGTTGGATGAGAAGTATAAATATGTACCATTCTGACACCCTATTAGCTTGTACACAACCCATCACAGCTGCATGCCGTTAGAAAATATATTTTTTGGAGAAGTCACCTCCCARTAAATGTCATTTTGGAAAATCGAACTGTTCACTTTTACTCAGTACTTTTACTTTTGATACTTAAGTAGATTTTGTGTCAGAAATTTACTTTTGGTACTTAAGTACAAAAAATATCAGATACTTTAAGACTTACTCAAGTAAAATTTTTAGAGAAAACTTTAACTTTTACCAAAGTATTTTTATGATAAGATACTTGTACTTTTACTCAAGTATCACTTCGAGGTACTTTATACAACACTGTGTCTCTGCAACCCACCCACTTATAAGCAGGATAAAATGGAGACCATACCAGCGTCTTAATAGAGACAGCAGCTCACATTCACCATAATCGGTTTTAAAGAGTTTACTCCAGTAGTTTTCTAGATACAGTACGCATTTCTGAAATGCAGGTATGCATTCAGTGTAAACAAAGMATTCACACAATCCACTGAAAACCAAATGACAGGCTTACATTAGAAATGTAAATAAATGTGGTGAAAATGAATAAGCATATTTGAGGTGAAGCCATTTTTTGTGGTAATATTAAGAGTTTTTGCTGTTTTATTTAAAGTCCAGGTTTAGATATTTAACTGTATGGTCTATAACAAGGGTTAAAAAAACAAACCCACCCACTGACACTCCTGCTGGCTACACCTCTGACAGCTGGGTGTCCCATGACTCTCAGTGGGGAAGGAGGAGAGTCCAGCAGGTGAAATATGTTGGATGGGATTCAAGCTTTTTCCATTCCCCTGTCCAGCTGAAAGACAATATGTGTATTTAATCATGGCTGTGATGTGCGGTCTGACAAGAAGTGTGTGTGCGTGTGTGTTTGTTTGTGTGTGTTTGAGGGAGGGGTATTCATTAAATCAGCTTACGTGCAGTTGCACTCTATAGTACATGTTTGTGTGCTGACAGTTTATTGATTTACTCCACCGTTCGCATTTTGCTCTCTCTTTTTATACAAATATATCATCATCGTTACTCTGAAGCTGTTTGCACATTGTCATTTGAGCAGAGTCCACTTACAGACCTGCAATCACTCTGCTATTTCTATGTTAGTAACCGCACATCTATTCATGCACCTGACCTTTAAGCTTTTGGCTTTGGATCTGGATAAATACAGCAGGATCCAGGAAGTGATACCTAGGTTACTCTATGCTAATTGTTAGCCCCCTGGCACTAATCACTGAGGACACTTACAGTTTCTTTGTCTTGTGCCATATTTTGCTGCCTATAACAGACGTACATCAGCAGGTTAGACTCAGTAACTTGTGTTAGTTGCGTATCTAGATCTACTTGCAACAAAGTTAAAATTTATAATACAAATTTTCAAACAGAAAATACTCATGTCAATAGAGGCTTAGAAAAAAATTACATTGAATAATGGATAAATAAGTAAAATAGACCTTGCATGTTTCCTTTAGATCAAGGTTGGTGAATTTAAAAAGGGTACTGGAGAGGTGCTTAAGACAGCTGAGGAAAGCTGGACACCTCTGAACTCTGTCCAGACCTTCAGTGATAAAGGTTATCACCAAACCAGCCTCCGCATTAAAATACTTAACAGCAGCTGCTTCGGCTGCTGTGATGCCAGACACTGCACTGCTTATTCATGTCTGCTTACATCACCCACAAAGACAAACCGTTGCTCACGTCAAAAATCAAAAGATCTTTGGATTGTTTTTTTTTTTTTTTCCAGATCTAGAGGTTGAGCCACAATAATACCTGATACTTAATCA